TTGGCTTTCCTAAATGCGATAACTATACGGATGAGGCATATAAGTCGCAAACATTGAACAGTTTAATCTCGCTTAAAGTAACCATCCCACCTTAACATAAGCTTTGGGTTGAGATAGCCAAATTGGCGTCCCTGGCTTGCAATTACCCGTTTGGGCACTCACAATATCGGGAATTGGAGTTATTTAATTTCAAACGTGCAGTTTTCAGATTCTAATGGGCTAATGCAATTGAATGCCTCATTAGAATTTGTGACGTCAGCGCAGATCTAACGATTTTTACACCTTATACTAAAACCATCGTTAAAACGTGGTGGTATATGCTGCTTTGCGCGCAACATCTGCCGCACTTTTAGGATGTCAAATTATTGCTTCCAAATGACGTCGTAGGAACAGCGGAGATCCCCAAAACTAAACAAAAGTAAAAGTCTAATATCTTGAACACCAGTAAATATGTTTCGATGAAATTTGGTAGACAATCATTTTTATCTTTCTGAACAACGGGACATCGCTTTTATGCCAATTCATTATCTTTATTGAAGGTGGGAGGGTCCCTTAATGAAGTAAGCAAAGGCCAAATAAGTGACGTTAACTGTGGTGCTATGCTATCATCCTCCGCATTAACCCGCGCGGGGCTGGGGGGGGTAAATTTTACCCCCCCTCGCGAATTTTTGCGATATCTCAAAAACGGCGGCGCGCAGCGCCGCCAAACTTTCAGTACCTTTTCTTACATCAATTTGACACCTTCCCTGAAAATTTGAGCGAAATCCGTCGGAAAATTTTTGAGAAATTGACGTTTTAGTGACGTCATGTTCGCCATTTTCGCCTCAAAAACGGCAAAAGTTCAAACGCCGCTAACATCTTCATTTTTAAAGGAATCAAGACGTAACAAAAAAGGTTATACGTAATTTTACTTTGTCTATCAAATGGCTATCTCGGTTTTTTGAAAATTTTGGATTTTGGCCTAAATTTTTTCAAAAAACTGATTTTTTTGGGAAAATCATTATAAAATCCAAAATTTTGAGTCTATCGAAAAAACCGGAATATATGTCAGAGAAGTGGTCTATGTGCACCTACATACCAAATTTTAGAAGAATCGGTTCAAAAATGTGGGAGTTATTCAAAATTTTATGACGTCACGACACACAAATTTTTTGAAAAATGACTTTTTTGGAAGTTCTAGACCTCGTACGGAAACAAAAATAGCACCATTCGATTCGCTGTGAAAAACTGCATCAGATAGACACCTTTTTAGGCCTTAACAACCAACTTCAAAATTTGACCTCACTTGACCTGACCTTGACCTGACCTCGACCTGAAATTCATCCAGAGGTGGTCCATATCACTTATTGAGTGTGCCTATTGAATTCTATGAGTAAAATGACCCATAAAACATGTGTCGCACATGCCCTTTTCTATATTTTGTTTTTTGGTGACCTGACCTGACCTGACCTGACCTTGACCTTGACCTCTGAATGATATTGTATGCAACTAATATTGTCTTGGTAGCCTAAGAACACGTTTTGGGCGATCAGTCTCAGTCCATGACTCCAGCCTTCGGCAACTACGGTGCAAGGCCGATACTGTAGAAACTTGCAATTTGTACCCTTGACCTGACCTTGACCTTGACCTCAAACTTTAAATTAAGTACATGTTTTTAGTAGTTCGTGATGAGAGCTTTCGATTGGCGTTTGAATTTTCCAAATCGGACCATTATTTCGGGAGATAACAGGGGGGTAAAATTTACCCCCCCCAGCCCCGCGCGTTCGGCTGGGGACCCCAGCCCCGCGCGGGTTAATCACGGACATTTTATAGTCCCTGTTTGCCACACACTACTGAAAGATTTCAATTGAACACTCATCTCTCTAACGCAACTTCTAGGTCACGTGGCGAAAAACACGGGCGACGCTGCACGATGTACAGGAAAATTACCACAATCTGTATTCTTTAGTGATCTGTTGGCCCTAAGTGAGCCACTCCCGGGCAGCGCCGCTGCTGAATTGTTTCTCATCAAGGCATCGGCGGAGGTAATACACAAGATTATGAAGAAGGGCTGATAATCAACAGCGAAATAATACTAAGAAGCACATGATGCAGTTGCTTGCAAGGTGGAATATAAGCCGACCATTACAACGAAATCCCGAACATCATCAGATAGCTTAATTGCAACAGCATTTGTCGTTGCAAGTATTCTGCGTTACACTGGTTATGCCCTCCCAGAACTATAAATAACGAGCACCGCATTGAGAAATGCTGTAATGGCTATTATAGGCCAAACACCATATCCTCCTCAAACCAGTGGATTCATCTTGTGGAGTCTTTGTCCGCTGTTTTCAGCCAAGTAATAACGGAACGGGACACATTCACACATATCTCGACAGATGCATGGCGAGGAACGAGTCATAACGAAAACCCGTCGGCCTTCGTGAGAATTCGCTGTCAAATAACGCCCAAACCTGATGAACTCATCCCAAAGTGGGCCCACAGTTTTCTGGCGGCATAAAAAGACGACGTGAATGCGGCCATTGGCGGCCGAATCACCGCCCATTTTCCACCGCCGGGCATGCCTTGACGTCACACATTCAGCGGGCGGTCAGCGTGCCGGGACGCTGCCGCCGCCGGATGGCGGTCCGAGCGAGCCGACCGGCTCAGCTCAGGAGCTGCGGGGCGGCCGCGGGGGACGGCTGACCCGCGGTGACCTTTGCGGGCCGACAGCAGCCGTCCGTAGGACCATCTGCGGCGCTTTGTGAATCCCATCCCGGCCCGTCACCTTCCGCGGCCTGGAGCATATCCAGCCTGACGGCCAGTCTCGGGGGAGAGAGAATCTCCTCAAAACGCGCCCAGTGAATGGAGCGAGACGTTACAGCCAAAGGCGTTTAGACGGTGGGTGACGGGGGCAGGGGCTTGTTCGTCAGCCTTGTAGACTTTACTCTCGTACAGCACTGTTACGGAGTAAAGTAAATCAAACGGAACTTGTGTCAGTCAAAGTCATTCGCAAGACAAGATTGTCGGGACGTTTCTTAAGCGATGTCGGACCCAAGGAATGTTTGGTTAGTTTGATTTTTTGATAAGTTTCGTCGGACCAACAGTGTAGATAAACATTAGCTTGAAAATCAAATTAAAATATCCATGGCCATTGGCCAAGCATATCACACCCAACATCCTGAGAAATCCTTTCCCTTCACAGGCCACTAAAAGGAGTTCGGCTCGAGTTAATCTACCCTACTGATAGATCGTGCGAGCAGATGTCACCATTCCCAGCTTGCTCCCGGATGCACCAAAACTCCAATGGAGTCTTCCAGCGACTGGTGTGCGAGCTTCTCAACACTTACCTACACTGTCTGGAGGTGCGCCCGACTTTCAGGAGACCGCATTCACCATGCTCCGGCGTTCCCACTTATGCAGCAATTCTCAGATGCCGGGGGTCAAGGATGAACATTGAACAGATGACCTGAGCCGTCTCGGCAGTGAAATCCTCGCACAAACCCGGCAATGACGCTGGTGTTTTGTGTGATTAAGTGCAATGGGCCGTCACTTCTACTGGTGGTTCAAGAGGTATATCAATGAAGAAGAATTTACCGGGAGGTCCTATAAAAGAGAATTATCTTTCTGTCATCTTGAGACCCAGCATCTGGGGATAATCAGACCCCCAAATATCACCATCAGACAACCTTCCCACACCCCACAAACTATCCTAGTCTCTCGGAGTCCCTGCCCGCCTCATTGCCCTCCACACACCAAAACAGACCAAGTCTCACGCTCCATCCACTTTGCTCCCGGGCCAGCCAGCAAAGATACGCCCCTCGCCGCCGGATAGGCGGTGCAGAGCTAGCAAACTGTCCCAACGGTCCAACTCAGTTCGCCGAGCTCCAAGCCAGCCAACCGCAGTGTGTCCGGCGGACTCCGCGCGGACGGCGCCGGCCGAGCGTGACCAGAACGACAGTTCGACGCGGAACTTCAGCCGCCGATCCGGCGAGGAGAGTGGTCGACGAGGGTCGACTTCCCAATCGGCGGAAACGCGCAGATAATGGGAGCCACGAGAGTGGGTGGGTTATTATTTTGATAGAGATCGCGAGTGGATAAAATTACGACGGAAAATTTGATGATGCGAGGATCGTTCAGAAAGTGTAACAGCTTGATGAAGAAATCAATCATCTACGAGAATAACATTTCAGATATGACGTCAATGAATCTACGAAAATATACCACAAAGCTAGCAAGTAACTACTATCCCAGCAATGGCATCCAGCAACAAGCAGCGGTCTGATCATTTGGCAATCTGAAGAAGCCGGATCTCACAAGTAACACCCACGGTGTGAAGCACACCGGATCAAACGCGCCGCTTCTAAAACAAGCCACATAACTCCCTACCCGCACCCACCCCGCCCTGATCCGCTGCCGGCATTGACATTCGTCCCGGTGCGCTCATTTCAGTCACAGAAGCCTTGGCGCTGTCGTCTCGGCGTGAATAGTGCCCCGATCGGACCCCGCGCGAGGTGCGAATCACAATGGTGACCGGACGTAACGGTCGGGAACGAGTAACACAGTGCGTCACCAGGGCCAAGGCCGCAGGGCTGGCTGACGTTGAGGGAGATTGAAATAAACCTCGGTCTTGAATGACGTCTAACGTCCTCCAAAATTTCCCACACTGTACCTGTTGATGGTGGCTTCGAAAACTCTCTAGACTTTTCACTTTACTACTGAAGTTTACTTAAATTCATTGTGTGGATCCTCGTAACATCCCTTCAATTATGCAGCATTCATTCTCGCCAATAACCTAGCTCGTAGCTCATCATATCTCAACAGTCAGCTATACTCGAGCCTAGCAATTCACAGTTCCCGCCATGAACTTCACCAATTATGTTCGAACGAATTATTTATACACAGCAGACTGCAAGCATTAGCCTTCCAGTTACCATGAAGCCTCCTGTCTCTATATGATACTATCTATCCTACATTATCCATCTATCTATATGATATTAGCACCCGGCCCGGTCACCTACTTGAGCGCCAGGTGGTTGATGTGTCCCAGGGCGTCGCTGACCGAGTCGCGCACATCCTGCACCTCACAGCGGAGCAGCGGCACCAGCAGACGGTGCAGAGACGCCGGGTCCGGACGGTCACCCACGCCAGTCTCCGGCGACGAGCTGCGCGGGTGGGCGGGTGGGTCAGAAGGGGTTAGGTGAGTCAGGGGTAGATGGTAAGAATGTAGGGGTCTGACGATGACTGGTGAGGGTATGAAAGGATTGGTACAGTAGACAGCTCATGGTGTCATGGCAAACGAAGTTTGCGTAACATGGCGTAACATAAAAATGAAACAAAATATCATGCAACATCGAAGACGAATGATCGTCAAATCGTACAATTACCTAAGTAAATAAACGAAAGTCCACGGCATGTCAGTAACGACAATCGAATGACCCAAGCCAATCGCACCACCCCCTAGCATTCACTATCCATTACCCCACACACAACATCACTTCAGAGGTCCGCCCCAGTCCCCTCCCCACGCCCCATCACCCCCTTCTCACCCACCAATCGCCCCATCTCACCTATCAATCGCCCCCTTCTCACCCACCAATCGCCCCGTCTCACTCACCTGACATTCAGCTCTGGCGAGACACAGCGGATGGCCGGGCCCGGCTGGCTCACTGCCGGTACCACGCGGCACGCGAACAGCGCGTAGTTGCGCCACAGGCCCATGTAGATGTCCCGCTGTTCGGGCGGCTTCTTGATGGCCGTGGTGCCGCGGAGAAGCGAGGCGCGGTTGTCGCTCACCGGTCTGTGGGGGAGGGGGAGGTGTAAGTGAGCAGGAGAGGGAAAAGGGTGACGAGATGCAGAGGGAGACATGGAAACATTGGCGAGGTATTAGACGGTAACGAAATAGAGGGAGACAAGTACAAAATAGGAAAAGTGGGAAGACAGAGTTTGATGAAGCTCATGAAGGAACAGGGGACTCAAAGAGAAGTTCGAGGATTGGGGTTTCTTAATCATTCACAGAGCCCTGCTTGGTTCCTATTTGTCGCTGCTTGAAACTCATACGAAATTCTGTCACATCCAGCAATGCAGGGAACGCCAAGAATAGCTCTGCCTCGAGTGCAGTCACCCGGTCAAGGTCATACGTGGAGGTCAATAGAGTTATGTCACGCCAGCGAAAGCCATATTAGGACGAGCCAAGTTGATCTTATTTCCGTAATCTGATTTCAGCGGGACCGCTAGTGAAATTCTGAATTGATGACACAACACAAATCTGTCCTGAATCTTAATGACGATGTACGGCATGTATAGGATCAGGGTCAGCTCAACGTCATATCCCACCCAATGGCACGGGCCATCGCCAGTTTGGTAACCACCTGCCGTAAGCAGCATTTCCAACCGCATAGCCAACCATTTCTTTCCCGAGACCAGGCTGTACCCCATCCCTTTCCTCCCCTCTCTCCCAACAACTCACGTGGGGTCGATGACACTGAAGAGCGCCTGGATCCTGTGGTGGACCATGGGCCAGGCGTGTGCCACAGCCACGGGCGCGGCGGTCGCCAGCCTGCCGTGCTCGAGGAAGCCCTGCAGGCAGACGGCCCAGGCGTCTCCGGCGGCCAGGTGGGGCACTGAGCCGCTCTGTGCGCCGTCGTCGTGCAGACCTGGGGTGTATGAACGGGGAGGTGTCAGGCGGGACAGTCCGGGAAGGAGAAAGGAGGGGGAAGGATAAAGGCAAATAGAAGAGAGTAAAAAGGTGCCGTTCCGTGCTTCTATCCTCAGGATACTGAAATCCTTCTCCTCCACGTCACAACCCCCTCCGGGCTGGACAGGCAACTTTATCTCATGCGGACTGCTCCCTTGGAGCGGCACCGCTGCTCCCGAGGGAGCGCACCCCGTAGCCGGGTGCAGTGAGTACCTTGGGGCTGGTCGGCCTGTCTTTCGGGACAGGCTCAGCCCCGGTGACTCACTAGGGTGCCCGCCCAGACCAATGTCTCCCCCTAATTCCTATCATCCTTCCGGCTCTGAAATGGTCTCGTCAGACCGAAAGGGCCTAACCCGACAAAAAAAAAGTAAAAAGGCAAGAGCGACCCTAAAGTTGGCCGTTGAGAGATAACCAGCGTCACGTTCAGACTCAGCACACATTCAGAGAACCACAGCAAATTTACGAAGAAGTTTATGAATTATGACAACACCAAGCTCATATAGCTCACTGACTAAAAATCAGTTTCCAATATCTCGTCTAGCCCACACCTCATGTCACTCTCATGTGTCCACCGACCTGCGGTCCAGACTGCCGAGTTTCTCTCTGCGATCCACTGCAGGTCGACATTGGACGTGGAGAGGACGGCCGCCTTCTCGGCTGGCGGCAGCAGCGGCAGGCAGCGCTCCACCAGCGCCGGACAGGCGGCGTCCATGGCGTCCACGGCCGCCGTCTCGCCCGGCCGCAGACAGTCTGACAGAGGGGAGAGGGAGGGTTATAAGGGACGCAGACAGTCTGACAAGGAGGGGAGAAATGACGGAGTGCTGAGTGAAGGGACGCGGCATGGAGAAATAAAGACGTTCCCAGCACACAACAAACTGCAAATATCAGCTCAGTGAAATCGAAACCTAAACGGTCATTCTTAGAGTTATCAAAAATGTTATAGAATGTCATCAAAACGCAAAAATCAGCTGGGTTTATCTATCCTCTATCAGATCAGCACACAACTCTTGACGACGCCTGCTATTCATCTCATAGTCCCTTACCCAGTCATGAATGCACTGAACTCACCGAGTGCCCTGAAGAGCAGTTTGACCTCCTTCAGTATGTGGACGGCCAGCCGGCGGACGGCCAGCCGACAGTGACAGAGCATCACCAAGGCCAGGCCCTCGACCATGTGCAGCACGCCCGGCTGGTCCATCCGCTGAGGGAGATATAAGGTCAGGTCAGGTCGGTCAGGTCAGGTTAGGTTAGGTTATATGCTAGTCCCTCGACCATGTGTAGCACGCCCGGCTGGTCCATCCGCTATGGGAGATATAAGGTCAGGTCATATACAGATAGCCAGCCCCTCAACCATGTGTAGCACGCCCGGATGGTCCATCCGCTGTGGGAGATATAAGGTCAGGTCAGGTCATATACAGATAGCCAGTCCCTCGACCATGTGCAGCACGCCCGGCTGGTCCATCCTCTGTCGAATCGAGACGCTAACGACACTGCCTTCATCACTGTCAGTTTACCACACATGCACTTACACTTTCCATACGTTGTCTATTAACAAAACTAGTCTCAGTTTTTCTTACTATCCCAGAGAGGCTACAACTTCAACCTTCATGCTATCGGAGCAAGAAGCACGAAATGTCCTGTAGGGCCCGTTCTCGCCGATTACCTTAACTTCAATCTGTACCGAGATTGACTTTTACAGAACAGAACAGCGTAACCCCCACCTCCCTCGTCCCCTCCCACCTGAGCCGGTGACGGCGCCACGGCGTTCAGCTCGCGTCGTTTGATGGTCGACCCGTTGGCCGGCGCGGCGATGGCGTTCCTCCAGCTGGTGAGCAGTTGCAGCACCATGCGCAGGCCGTTGTCGAGCAGAGTGGGCGCCGTGTCCGCCACCTCCTTACACATGAACCAGATGAGGCCCAGTACCACCTCCTCGCGCCAATCGGGGAAGTCCACTGCGAGATTAGTCAGACTCTGGAAACTGAGGGCGCGCAGCTCCTCGTCCATGTGAACCTGGCGAGGGAGGGAGGAAGTGAGAGCGATTAGTTTAACTCAACGGATATAAATAATCCAACGCTTAGCACATAACAGCTCGCACCACACAGAAGCTACGATGTTCAAGTTTTGCAATCCATCCCTTCAGAGCAGGTGATTTTTGGCAAAGGCTAAGCTGCATGAATTGATTTCACTCCAAAACGCTAAGTTCACTTTCAACATTAAAACGATAATTTGCGAAATAATATAAAACGATCTACACGATCTAAGATATCCACAGAGCAAGCTGCCATCAGAGTGTCAGCTGCCATCAGAGTGAAAGCTGTCATCAGGATGCGAACAGTAAATACTCACGGTGAGTCTGGCCAGCATCTCGATGAGGTCGCTGCGGGTCATGCCGTCGGGCACCAGCCGCGGGATGGCCGCCACACACGTCCGGAACAGGTCGATCTTGGGCTTACGCTCGCCGGTTATCCGCTCGTCCGGCTCCTGGAGAGATGGAGAACGGAGGGTGGAAATAATACTCAAGGCAGGCACACGCGTTAAAATGACCTTTGTTTAGTTCTTGGCGGCCAAATGAGGCTGGCTGGAAACGGGCAGTAAAAGGCGGTCCAACAATATTAAGTTGCGCTTCGCATATGTTAAGTACCTTCCGAGGAACGAAAGCATTACGGTATAACAGGAAGGCCTGGCGCCTAACGCCTCAAGGCCTGGCTACACTATGCGTTTTCTGCGTGCGTTTTTTGCGGGTTTGCGTGTTTTGCGTAATATCGTTCTAGAAAAAGAAACAATATAACGTTTTTGTGATGCTTTTTATGTTAAATGTTAGTTAATATAAGAGTTATATTAACTTTTGTATTTAATAAATGCACAACTTATGTAAATTATACTATTTATAACTTTTTTCTAGAACGATATTACGCAAAAAACGCAAACCCGCAAAAAACGCACGCAGAAAACGCATAGTGTAGCCAGGCCTTCACGTATCACATGTAAGAGCCCTTCTAATATGAAATTCTTATTTGACCATCCCACCTCAACACAGCCTCCCCATCCCCCTCACCTTGTTGACGTTCTGCGTATTGGTCATCATGAGCGGCCGCCCGAACTGGCTGTCGAGCGCGCGCAGTATGTCGCTGAACACCTTCCGGACGTACGGGTAGTAGGCGGACACGCCGATACTGCGCGCCGCGTCATCCGTCAGCATCTTACTGAGGAACGTCTTCTTGACGCGTAGCGTGTTACCTGTGGGTGAAAGGCGGGAGGGGAAGGAGACGGTCGGATGGTCAACAGAAAGACAAACTGAATAGAAAAAGAAGGTAACAAAGAGGTAGGAGGCTTAATGCCGATCCAATATCGATACTCATTCTCATGTTTACGACGGGAGAATAGCAACGCCAATTTTTATCGATAAACAAGTATGCCACATAATCAGCGGCAAATCGCTACAGTACACACGCTACCCGCCCATCCACCAACCAGAACAACCCTACGGCCTACAGCACCGGTTGTCCCTCTCCCTTCAACTACCACTCCTACTCACCTGATGGCAGGACGCCGACGGTGCGCGGCATGGGCGGCTCGCCCTCCTTCTGCTGCAGACTGTCGGCCACCACCAGGAACGCCCGCAGACCGATCGACATGCGCTCCGGCGTGGTGACGATCTTCACCGCCCGGCCCACCGACAGCAGGTCGAACACGATCTCACGCATCGCAAAATCCAGACGCTCCTGAGGGGTGCGGTGGGGTGTTGGGTGAGATGCGAGGGTGGGAAATGGGTCGTAGCGTATTTCGATTTTGGTGAAATTGGCGTAATGGCCATCAAGGTACAAAAACAAGCATGTTCACTGTGTTTCAGTTTGATAGCGTCGATTGAACATCAACCTGGCGCGTCAAAAGAAAAAAAAATTGTCAAAACCTTCAGAGACAAACAACATTGATTAACGCTGAATTATCTACCCGTGCCTCTTATAGCACAAGACCAAATGGATCAGAGTTCCGCCGTCCCGTACCTGCGCGATGAACTGGATGATTTTGACGAAGATGTTGAGCGGCGTATCGCGCGGCACCACGTTCTTGGAGCCCTTCGGGAAGAGCGAGTTGACTATCGACTGCAGGCGGCTCTGGGTGGCGGAGTTGCTCTCACACTTAATGCGGATCATGTATACCCAGAGCAGGCGGTACAACGACTCTGAAAAACACGCAAACGAGGGGTAAATATACGATTCCGGAATCGAAATCACTTCAGGTATTGGAATCGTTGGAAGAAACTAACGAAAAAGATCACATAAAATAAAATATGTCCGACAATGCGACAACCATATGACCTGAACCAGTCATGTGAAATATCCCGTCACGCCGCGTGCCGCATTCTTCTCCCACTCACCGAGCGCTACGCGCGACATCTTGGGATCCTTGTTCTTGAGGTTGCTCAGGCACATGGCCAGGAAGTAGTGCCAGTTGGAGAGGAAGAACTGCTTCTGGCTGACGCAGAGCAGGCAGGTCACCAGTGGGAAGATGGCCAGCCGGTGCTTCCCCTTGGTGCACATGTCCAGCGTGTGCGTGTACAGCATCTCCACGAACGTCTTCAGACACGGCACGTTCACCTCGTTCTTAACGCACTATCGGAGGAAGGAGCGTGGTCGGTCTTACCAAACATGTTTGATAAACACGTCGTTGCACAATCAGTGTTCGGTAAGCGATGATCACAATATTTCACGAAAAAAAAAATATGAAGTAATATTGAGCTTCTTGCCTTGGCGAGATCAACTCACCCATGCAACAATCGTAAACCACAAAGTTGAGAAACAGGCAATATCATCCCACCTTACACCCTGGAGAAGATCATCAATGACGCAGGTAATGGTATGGTACTACATCATAACATCGAGCGACCATCCCACACCACCTCTCCCTTCCTTCCCCGATACTCACAGCGGCCACAGGCACCAGAATCTCAACGAACAACCCCGCCAGCGCGTGCTTAATGTCCTTATCCTTCACCTCGAGGAAGTACTGTGACAGTTCCTGCATAAACTGGAAGCTAATCTCAAACTCTTCGATCGGCACCATCTGTAACACAAACAAATGAATGGCATCTTGTGCAGGTGTATCGCGTTGGTGAAGTGAATCGGAAAACCGAGTTTATGAAACGCCATTGAGATAATGGGTTATGTAATGGAAGGTAAACGGGTCAATGCCTCGGTGAATCAACACAATATATGTGAGAAATTGATAGATGAATGGAGGAATGCAGCGAACGAGGAAGAATGAATGGTTGACTGAATGAATAAAAGAATGAACGAACGAACAAATAAATGAATGAATCATAGAGCGCATAAACAAGTGGGCGAGAACGGTTTGCTGCACTTCCTAGCAAGTTTCCATTCACCTTCCTTGTACCTACACTCTCTAACGCCACTCTCCCACTTACAAGACGAACACTTACCTTCACTCTGAAGAACTTCATGCCCATGAGGAGGGCGATGATGCCCTGGGTGGTCTGCTGGCTGCTCTCCTTGGCGTGTAGCTCGCGTAGCTCGTGCATGAAGCGCGCGCGCACAGAGTGGATGCGCGACTGAGCCAGCACGCCGATCACCTCGGCGTACAGGTCGGCGATGATGTTCACATTGGAGGAGTTCGGACCGGCCGCAGTGCTGTCGGGCACGCCAGAGGAGGGAGGGGAGGAGTGTTTCGTGAGAAATGGAACGAAAAATACGCCCCGAGTCTCTAGTTGTATACACACCATGCCCATGGAACGGGCAAAGAAAGGTGAGCCTAGAGAAGATAAACAAATATTAAGTAAGCGCTATGAAATCTCAAAAAGGAAAACTGCCTTTGTATTGCTTAGACACCACCTACACCACAGAGTATAATTAAATTAGTAAACGGGGCGCCGATTGATATTGACATTACGTGCTACGTTTTCCCTGTGTTTAGCATAATATGATCACAGACCCGGAACTGATGATCTCACAGATCACTCCCCCGCCACCTGAACACACCCGCCGACAGTAGCTGCCCCGCCATCCGGGACGGCCACTCACCTCTCTCGGTATTTGAAGTGTCGGAACGCCAGGTTCTCCAGATGGCGCACCAGGTCCTCGTAGCCCGGGTGGAGGTAGAACTGACGGAGTACCTCGATCAGCACCAGACAGAAGATGAACTCCACGGCCAGGTCGCGCCGGTCCTCGCGGTGCTCCCGCTCCAGGCGGTCGGTGGTCGGCTCTCTGAGGTCACAAAGGTCACATAGGTCACAAGGGTCACACCGTCACACAGGACACACAGGTCACACAAGTTATACAGGTAGGTCACACAGGTCTCAAAGGTCATACATGCCTCAAAGATCACATAATCACATAAGGTTATGTCCAAAGACGTTCAGTGCGATTGGTAAGTGGGGAAGAAATGCAGAAGCTCGGGAAAAGGTAAACATTTGCACTTGGCTATGTGCCGTTTTCCGGTGCTCAGTAGGTACTCACACCCTGCCTTTGGCGTCTGTGCGGGTCAGCCGCACCTCTGCCGCCACGTCCACCCCCTGGCGGTCGTACCAGGCGAACAGAGTCCGCAGCAGGGACGGCAGACAGTGCTCGGCCGCCGAGCCGAACGTGGACAGCATCTGGTCGAACTGGGCGTCCTCGCCTCGCTGCAGCGACTTGGACAGCGGGCGCTCCTGGCGGGCAAGAGCAAGAGCGATGATGGGCTTGGACATAGAGGCCTGCACATGAGAGTTACACCGGTAATATGAGAGAGCGTGGAATCACCTTGTTTAACATTTTTGAATTAAGAAGTAGTATGATATCACTGTCTCATTCTCACCGAGGGGAAGATTGCACACTCTCTTCCTCCCCCTTCCCCACTCAGTCGCAAATGAGAAATCCCCCACTAAACTTTGTCCACCCCTCCCCTCTCCCCCTCTTCCCCACTTACCAGCGGCTCCATCATGACCGACTCGATTTTCCTCTCTGCTTGGACCGTGAACTCGGCGAACAGGGTCCTCATGACGAACTCTCCGGGTCGCAGGTCGGGGTCAACCTGTACGCTGGCCGGGAAGCAGTGCCGCTCGCGGCGCGCTCCCCACGGTAGGGGCAGTGTGGCGCACGAGCCGCCCCCCGGAGGCGGCCCGTCTGTGGGGCGAGTAAGGGAGGGGCGATTGTTAGTAATCAGGTAGACAGGTAGGGTAATAGCGTGAGAGGTTGACTGAGGTCAGTGGAAACGAACCCGTTGGTGTTACAAGAGGAAGAATACGGCATTTTAATGCTAATTCGCTTCTGCAACATATTCAGATATGCCCGACGTACCGCCGCCCGCAGCATAGTCCTCCAGGTCGTCGGGTTCGGTGTCAGTCAGATCGGAGCCATCCCGGTCGACGACCGTCGTGGCGCCGTCACCGGGCGCCGACGAGGCGCTGGCCTCGTCTGAAACGGTCACAACAGGTCACTGTCAGGTCACAGAGGAACACAGTGGGTCCCAAAGGGGTCACAGCAGGTCACAACGGGTCACAGCAGGTCACAACGGGTCACAGAGAGTCACCGCGGGTCACAAAAGGTCACGCTGGGTCAGGACACTGAAACACGCCGATATCTGCCCTGTGTTTACTGGTATATGTCTGAAGCACCAAAATCAGCAGGTACCTACATTAAAAATAGTCGAAAAAGTCGAGAAACATTGTTAAGAAAAAAATATGTACCTACTTAACCTACCTCTGGTTAAGTTTGGAGATCTAGTGTCGAGGATGTCAGACTCTGTAAAAAAAAAAGAACATACAATGTCAACGATTTGAGCAATTGCCGATTAAATGATGTTGCTTTAATTGCTTCTATAATTTCCTACAAAAAAATGACACGTTAGCCACAGCTGATGTAATGTAGCCAGGGAATCCAAAAGCATAACTGTTAGATACATGAAGATTCCTAGATTGAACTGATGCAACTTATGATGAGAAGTGGCATGGAAAAGACTAGGAAATAGCTGAGTTTGAAAACAACACTTGTAACAAAATAAGTTGAACTTTTCTCTTATGGCATATACCTACTATATAATATATAGCATCACCTAACTGAATGAAATTAAGTCACCATGGAAGTTTTACGAGTTCTGAATCAAGTGAGGATTTTATTAAACTGCAAACATGCAGTCATCATGCATAAATCAGAAAAGCATGGAGTGCTGTTACATTTAATAAAACCCATGAGGCCGCTTCATCATAATAATGCTGCAAGATACAAAACATCACAAGGCAGCACAACTGTGAATGTGACAAACTGGCTGTTGTGAAGGTGATGGGACAAGAGGTAATTGTAGTGTTGATTTGAACTCACAAATTGCAGTTAGGTGGAATTGTTGCTAGTAAAATAATATGGTGATATTCAACAACCTAAAAAATAATTGGTATATATGGCATAAGTAAGTGTAGCTAAATGGTGCCTAAGTAACCAGGTGAGATAACCAGATGAGATATGCCCTTTGAGTGACTAAAGCATAGAAAATTACCCAAGCACTGACAACAACAAAAAAAGACAGTGAAACTGCTCTCAACTAAAGTCACTTAATATCAGCATTTGTCACAGCATAAAGGCCTGCCAAGTCTTGAAGCAATAATGAAAATCAGCAATGACAAAGGCAGTGGTGGTCAACAGCATAGTGCAGAGCTTTCAGCCAAAATGAAAAACATTAGCTCTGGCCAGCTGCTGACATCACAAAGGCCCCCACTCTGACTCTGACTGCTGGCCACTGCCAGATTTGAGTACTGGGGAGACCCTCATTACCACATTTCAGGCAGTCATTGGCATAGAGACTGCCCCTAAGCCTTGTTGGTACCAGACAATGCAATAGCAAGCTGGCAGTGCCGTGCTCCAACTCAAACGTTGCCATAAGAGCAACAGTAAGGACGCAAGTGCTCTGTGTTAACAAACCTGTGTTCTTGCCAGATTATGGCTGCCCTCACCAATGGTTACAAGACTTGCCCTGCACCCAACAAGATCATTGGTCACCAAATGAGCAGAACAGATGACAGTAAATAATTCAACATGGTTGCATGTGTCTAGAGGTTTATGGGTTTATTTGCAAATATTACTGGCAATAGTATTTGGTAAATGGTAGCTACAATCCTGAGGTTCACATTTCAATGTATTTTTGCAGTTATAAGAGCATGATAACATTATATCTTATAGGTTTGCTGCATCTCCAATGAAAAGATCAACATTCACACGAAAAAGCCAGGGATCCGTACCTTTCGCTTCCAGTGAATCAATATTTTTAAACTCAGCTTCAGTCATGCTCAATGATGATAACCTGAAATGTAGGAGATTGTTAGGCTATATCCCACACTCAGAGCTCAACAAAATTGTAAGCTGAGATAGCAAATATGCAGCTAAAACTCAGCTGAACTGTAGACTGAAACCCAAATTGAAACCATGCAAGACAACAAGCTTTCAGGGTTCAACAATCCTCCTATCCAAAAATTGGCATCACAATAAACGACTTAATTCATCGAGGAATACGATCAGAACCACTATGAACATTAAATCACAAAATATATCCCTCAATTTGCAAACTGAAACTTGAACTGAAACGGGCAGGCACACTGACACCGGCGAACAAATCATGCCAATCAGTTTCCGTGATCAGTCACGGTCGAAAGTTCGCTAGGATAGAATAGTTTAACAGGAAAGGTTCCAGCGGCTGTATTTTGTAATTTTTTTTACAGACTTATTTACCTTTTTATTGATACGCCACGCAATCAATGATATTGATGATTCATCACGCAAGATGACCTTCAGTAACAAGGCTATAGAACTCCTATAGGCTATAGTTCAGTAAAATCGACAATTTACACAGAGCGCTACAGAAACTGCGCGGTTATGACAGAAGACATCTGATTGTGACTACTAAATAAAAAATACCGTTCCTTAGCTTTGTGCAATGCTGGTAACAAAGTCAACAACCATTATAATTTATAACAACGACTTTTATCTGCTCCTTATTCCTAAAGAAGCGTCAATGATGTTTTACGAGAAAGTCAATAAATTTCAGTTTTTTCAAATTACAATTCATACTGACTATATACACAAAACCTTGTGAGCCAACCACCCGCTCGACCGAATCGACTAAGTCGCGGGGCACCTGCGGTCGACACTGACCGGGCCCGGATTGTGGACAGAACTCAGAAATACCCGAAATACCTACGCATCGCAAAAGTGCGTATGACAAGTGTACGTCAGAAAAAAGCACATAGGATAAAAGTGCGTATCGTTAGTGAAACGATAGCGTATTTTATAACGTATAAAATACCTACGCTTGAAAAAGCATGATGTAGGATATGCGGGGTTCTCCCATAAACTGCCTACGGGCCTTGCTGCCTACGTCATTCATCGTCTCGGGTCTCCCATGCATCTCCACACTCCTTTGATGCTGGCATTCGTTTATACGATTTTACAAGCATTTCCTGCAGTTAGGAAAACGTTTAAATGGAACCAAATTTTCCAACTTTTCTAAAAACGCTACACTTCGGCCGTACAATGACAAAAACTAGACAAAAACCTCTGCCTAATTGAACCTACCTTGTTCTACTAGATAACCTACTAGTGCCCATGTTAAGGCTATTGAGCCTTTTGGTAGAAAAGATCTAAAAGGTAGGCACATCGACTAGGTGCTAGGTACCTTCTAACTCTGAAACTCAATTTTTTATTACCTATGGTCATTTGTCATCAAATAAAACACATTTTGCTATTTCAACTTTGTATTTATGCTTTAAGATCGCTTGAAGCGAGCATATTAGGTATGCAAAAATATGCACCCACTGCTCGCGTCAAACGCCCTTCCGTGACGTGAAATTAAAAAAAAAACCCTTAGGTAGGCATGCAAATATAGGTAATGGTGGTATGCTGGTGATAAAATAACAGTCGAACCACAACTCGTAGTCCATTAACGAGACAGTTGACAGAAGCTACCGCACGTAATGTAGCCCTGACGTAATGTAACTGTGAAATTGCAATTACAGAGCTTACCACTTCCGTGACATTCCTGCTACTTAACTGTGCACCGATTATATCGATCCAGGCCGTGACGCGGATTGTGGAGGATGTAAACGGGCGCCGGCGGAAAACTGACTGACTAACGGTTCGTGCTTACTGGCCGGCGAGCTGTACCATATTCTCGTGAATATCGATACCTTATACCACAAGAACCGTATAACTCCGCAAAACCGTAACACAGTCGGCCAGCTAATTTGTGACATTTTTGTACTTCTCGATTTTTGTTCGTTGTTCACAAGGATGTCCGTCTAACGCTTCCGCCTTCCGTCATCACCGTGCGGCGAAAATGACACTAATTGTAAAATCGAACCGATCGCACAAAGCCAGCAAAAACAGGTGGATGTGAATGGAAAATTTTAACCGTTTATTGTTTAACCACTAAGCAAAGGAGGTATTTCGCGCGACAGTATCTAAACAGTGAAGAAAATAAAATACCTACCTATAATAAAGATAATCGGAAAAAATAGTCATCCAAAAGCAGCATCATAAATCTAGATCTCTCAACCGTCTGCACTGCGATCCCGTGACTATCGCCGACGTCACCGGCTTCACCCGTTTATCTGAGGCGCCTCGCACCTCGGCACCCCGCTCTGCGGGCCTCTGAGCTCGGCTGGGACAGCCACACACCTGGCCGGAGTGTCCGACCCCGCAGCCGGCAGCCCCCGGCGCGTCGTGCACCCATGTTGTATAACCTGCCGGTCCTGCCGGGCGGCCGCTCAGTCTGCGGCAATGCACGCTGCAGTGTGCACAGAGCTGGACTGCAGAACATTGCAACCGTCAGGGGGCAGCACGTGAGTGTGAGCAGCGGCAGCGTGCACGGCGGGCAGAGTATCGGCAGCGGGTCTCGACTCAGGACAGAACGGCGCAGAGAGGAGGGGACAGGACAGTTAGTGATCCGCCCTAAGGAGAGGAGTGAGACAAACTGAGCACAGCACTCTCTAGTGTCAACTGGGACAGGAGAGCCGTGCATGATACGGGACAGTGGCAGAGACGGACGAACTGTGCGTGGCGCACATCGGAAGCACCTCAATCACGTCATCCACGGAACTGATTTCCTGAGGCGCCCCAGTTGATCAAGAGGTGCCCCCGGAGCAGTTTCGGGACTCCGAGGAGGTCGAAGAAGAGGAACTCGCGGCGCGGCAGACGGACCGACCCGGGTCGGATCCGCAACAGCAGGTGAGAGATAGGCGCACAGCTCGCGATGATGGAGAGGCGGCGAGCTCGCCAGGTTGGTGACTAATGATAATGATAATGATGGCGATTGGCGATGATGGTGATTAAGATGATTTAGGTCTTGGAGGCCGAGCGCGGTCGACCATCTTTCGATGCAAAGTGCTCTAACCCTCGCATGTGTAGGGGGGGGGGGTCGGATGGACCCCCCCCCATGGTTTTTCGCGAATAACTCGCGTAAAAAGCGGCCGATCGCGACGAAACTTTTAGTACCCTCGCATTGATCAATTTTACACCTACCCTGAAAATTTCATGACCCTGACCCAAATGACCTTTGACCTGTGACCTCTTTTCCGAGACCATGTTTGGCCGAAATCGCGATTCGGCGTATGTCGGCTCGCACTAGCCGCGTGTTTGCAAGCTTTTCGTGATTTCAAACGTTCAAACATGTGATTTAATGTTACTCCCGTGTGTGTCAAGGTCACCTGAAGGTCAGGTCAGGTCATTGACCTTTGGTGACCTCGGGTGACCTCGGGTCACTTTTTCGAGTTTTACATGTTTCTAGGCTAGTTTTTGGAGCTGAATTCGAATTTAGCAACCATTTGAACATTTACGAAGTAGTTTTGGTGACTTCGTAACATGTTACGAAGCTGTCAGAGGCGGTTGACACGTACTACGAATACCCGTCACGACGCCTACTGGTTGACCTGACCTGACCTGACCCGACCTGGTCTAAATGCTTCAAGACATCATCTGTGATCAACACTAACACGATATTCGTGATCAGCACCCCGAAAAACCCCTTAGCAGCCACACTTTACGACTTTCTAACAGGTCCCGATTTTCCCGACTTTGGGTCATTGACCTGACCTGGAAGGTCAACCAATGACCTAGGACCTTAAAATTGGGTATCATCGGCTTCCTCTCGTCACGGGCAACACGCTCGTTTTTTCCGCGAAGCTCTAGCTCGATCAGGGGCCAAACGGCAAGGGGGGGGTCCAACCGACCCCCCCCCCCTACACATTAGAAGCTGGCAAACGCCGCACACATGCGAGGGCTAAATCACAGGCCAACCGAAACATGTGAAGGAAGTTTGCTAGGATCATGAGTGTGGAAACGTTTCAAAAGTTATGGTCGTTTTAAATTACTTTCTAAGTCGTTATCATAGACAGCCAGCCTTCAAAATAAATATGCATTGTGCACTATGCAATATGCTAACCGTTCCGCTGCGAATAGCCCACACCACTCTATTCAATCATATACGAGACGAGATAGTTTAAAGTCTCAAATGCACAGAAATCATGTGCAGAGGTAAACAAAACTTGAAAAAAAAACTTTTACAGAATTTCAAGTTGGTGTAGAGCTCTCCCAGTCCCCGCCGAAAACATGTTAAGTAATAAGTGAATTAGGACTTCACTCGACTAGAAATCGTTCGGGTTGGAGCATTCGAATTATATTTACAAAGCTTCGTCAACGTCAGGTCGCAAAATTGCAACCAATGTCCCCCGAACCCGATTACGACTCGCTGACGGAGTTTTGTAAATACCTACAATTCGAATGCTCCGACCCGAACGATTTCTTGTAGAATATTCTTGTGGAGTAAGGTCCTAATTCACTTAATACATTATAAACAAACTCGAAAACATGTTCTTAATATAGCATGCAAGGTGACTTTCATATTGCCTACGGCCCACCCACATAGACATTCACTGGCGGATCCAGGCTTGCGTTTTTTTTTTTTTTTGGGGGGGGGGGCAACTCATGCAGGAGCCAAACCTAGGGTACCCCCAAATCCTGTTTTCTCATCGGATTTAGGCCACTTATTTTTCGTCACAGCCCTGACACTATGATTTTTTTAACTAAAAAGAAAAATATATAAATGGTAGCCCACCCGACCCATGCCTTTATATTACTTTGTAGACACTTACCATTGCTTTTGTCGACCAGTTAACCCGCTTCGAGTCAGTGCTTGGGTCCCTTTGCGGACCGGGAGGTGGTAAAACACCCCCTGTCTAACTCGGCTTGTGGGCCACGCACTGATTGAACTATGTTTCATTATCGTTTGGGGGGAGGGGCAAACGGGCCACTTTAGGCCTCTGGGAAGGGGGCATGGCCCTAAATGCCCCCTCCCTGGATCCGCCAGTGTAAGAGACCATTGGAGCTGCAGTTGGGTAGGTACCTCAGACGTCAGGGTACGCCCTCAGATGTATAGGACTCGCATGGAGACCTCTTATGCTATAGTGGACTGAAAGGACCCAAAGGAGCCTGTCTAGGGCTCCCGGGGATAGACGTGGGCCCTCAGGAGCCCGCCAGAGCCCCCAATGAGGGATAAGTGAGGGATACCAAGTGCCTGCAATTGCATATTGCATAAGCCATAACGCCTTTACAAATCAATATATTATGTATCAGTGGCAGATCCAAGGGGGGCCACATGGGTCATGACCCCCTTGGTGCCTGGGGGCACCACAGGCCTGTCAGGGGCACCACCGGCCTAGCAGGGGCACCACCAGCCCGCCAGGGGCACCACCAGCCCGCCAGGGGCACCACAGGCCTAGCAAGGGCACCACGGGCCTGTGAGG